TGTCATTGAGAAGCAAAAGATATCATCTATTATCTATAAGAAAGTTGTGAACATACTTATGTATCTAATGGTGTGCACAAGGTCTAATAATATTTTGATTTTGGCAAAGGTAAGAAAAACATGATGAATCTTGAAAAGATGCATTGAAAAGCAATTAAATGAATTTTCATATACTTGAAAAATACTAAAGATTGTGGTTAATTGTGGATGGTTTTTGAGACAATGACAAATCTTGATCACAAAAAATCTATAATTTGATATATGTTTACACTTGGTGATAAATGCATTAGTTAAAGATTTATCTTGCAGAAGTGCGCATTTTTGTCTACAATGAAAGTTGAGCATATAGCAAAAGCAAAATTAGCAAAGTAAGTTATTTGATTAGATAGGTTTATCACTGAAATGGGAGTGAAACATGAGGTTGTTAATGCTTACTATAATAACGAAAGTGCATTACATCTTCTTTCAAATCAAGTGATAGACAATAGAGTGAAACACATTTACATCATGTATCTATATATTGGACATGCAACTTCAGATAAAAGTATTGAGATTTTTAAGATTGACAATAAATTGATAGATTGATCAAAATTATTATATTAGAGAATTTGAGAAGATTATGTGTTACTATGCAATTTTTGCATGATGAGCAAGAGTATAATTTAATAGTTATTTATAATTAGCTCTTGTAACATTATGTTTTAATAGAAGGTACTTAAAATGAAATTTAAACTCTAAAAATTAGATTTCTTAAATGATTTTCTTCTTTCTTATATAAATTCTTCAAACACATACACAAAGATAAGGTCTTCTCCCCACCATCTAATACTTTCTTAGTGGATTCATGACATGGCGGATATATCTAATGAGTTCATGGATTGCTAATGTGTTTCTATAAACACACAAACTAGTATATTCAAACTTTAGTTAACAAGCACACAAATTGATGATGAGTTGTTTCTAATTAGCATACAAATTGCTATCGTGACATTATAGATATTTCATTATCATCTACTCTATTCAATCTTGAGTAACCTCTATTTTAAATATAAACTAACTAAAGATGTTTATAGCTCTAGTTTAAAGTGTGATATTTCTTCAATAACTTTATGCAAAGTAATTATATAGCTTAAAGAGTTATTTATTTTCCAACATGTGTTATGGAAAATATTGTTTTGGTTAATTTTTTTTTGAAAATTGTGAATGTTGTTTTATAGCATTCACTTAAGGTAGTGAGCTAGATTTTGACTTTCAAAACTTTGTGTAGAAATTGTTTGCGTTAAATTAAACTATGTCATATTTTGACTCTATCGTGTGATGACGCAACATAAACTATGATATAAAAAATATTGTAACTTCAGTAATCTTTCAACTTTTAGTCCATACAAATTCGAGCTCAAGCTTCTTTTGATGTCAAATTCGCTTAAAATTCAGTTTATTCACATCAATAATGAAGAGCGTATGGCTATGAAGAAAGTTCAAGCAAATTTTATATAGAGCATGTGTACCAATTATTTATGTAAATAGTGCAATATTTTTATTAAAAAAATTTATGTTTTATTATTTATCGTTTGACATATATATATGTAAATACAATTTCATTAAAATGATCAAAATATGAATTTCAAAAATAATAAATATGTATATTAGAATTTTTTAGATTATATTTTTTGACATTTTGATACAAAAAATCAAAATCTTGTAATCGTAATGAATTATTCAATTATTATTTATTATCAACATAATATATGAAAAGCTATAAAATAATAAGAAATAATTTAAAATTTTAATATGTAAAATGTATGTATGTATGTAATTTTAGTTTGATAGTAAAATTAAATCATGTTTTTCTATCAAGATTAGTTTTTTATAAATGTATAAAAAATATAATATTTTTTCTAAAGATTAAATATTATATAAAAATATAAAAAAATGTGAATCTAAAATATCTTTAAAATTAGATTATAAAAGAAAAATCATATGAATTATCTATCATTGATAAAAAAATTAAAAATGTACATTAAGTCTAAAATAACATGAAAGAAAATCACAAGCACGCAAAGCAATTTGGTTGTAGTATACCTAAAATCCGAAATAAATTTCATTGTAATTTCATTTTTTTTCTCCCATGTAATTCCTTTGACTGTCAAATTAATTAAAAGAAAATTATTTTTTTAATTTTGGATGTGTAAATACATCTACTATCTAAGGATTGTTGAAACTTTGAAAAAAGTTATAAATTTTTCTATCAAGTACTTTTTTCAAATAATGATTGCATCTTCCTTTGCATTATTACATGATAGTAAAAATTATTCAAGAAAATTTAAGAATGATGATATAAAATTTTTCACCTTTTGTAAGAAAACATCTCCAATTTTACATTTATTCAATTAAGATGCATTGAAAAACATGTTTTTACTATGTATTATATTTTGCAATGAGAGTAAAAATTATGACTTAATTTTTACAATGCATTCCAAATTTTCAAGATTATTTACTTCATTATTATGTGATCGCAGAAATCTCACTTTGTTGCAAATGTGAATCTCAACTTGAGCTTTTTACTTCTTGAAAGCGATAAAAACTTTAACCTTCTGATAAACATGATAGAATTATTAAAAATACAAATAATTATGAATAAAAATATATAATATAAATTTTCAAAATGTAAAAAAATAGTGAATAGATGCTTCTTGTCATTATGTATATATTCAAGAAATATTTTAAGAAATGTGAAATCTAAACTCAAAAATAATATGAATGCATTTCTATGGTAACGCCCACAAATTATTAGATCATAGTGTAGACATAAGTCATTGTTTTGAAATTTTAACATGCTGTTTTCTAAGGTGATCTAATCTTGAATGGTGAAAATAGTAGTTTCATAATAAAATCTAAAAATATGTAACTATGTAATATTATTATTATATCTAACACATGAAATTATCTTTTTTTATTTTTGCAGTTAATAATTATTTAAAATATATCATATTATTATTATTACTATTTATCATATTCAATGTTTTAGATGGTTCAAGTTATATGTAAGCAAAACACTCATCAACTCATAAGAAAGTGATGATAAACATGATTTGATGTGGGATTGATAATTGGTATATTTTTTTTGTACTTTTATACCTTATCAAGATTCCACAAGTTTACAGTAATATTATTGAAAACATGAAAGTGGTATTCATATCTTTGTTTTGACTCAAAGCATGTATTTTTCAATTATGCGTATTATGCGATACTTTTTTATGGTATTTGTGTGGAGATTTATGAAAGATACTTTTGTATTTGTACATGATTTTCTTAACGTATTTATATTATAATTTTTAAATTGAAATTTATTTTTAAAAATAATAGACTGAAAAATAATAATTTTGATGGTAAAAATTCTACAACAAAACTCTATAAAACTCATATATTAACTATTTGATGATACTATCAAATTTAAAAAATAATTTATATCAAATTCAAAATAAAAATCACAAAAAAATATCCAGTAATACAACACAATTAAGTTTCGGTAGAAAATTGTTCATCATTATATTAAATCAATAACTTTTATATTACAAAGACTCAATCAAAATGCTTGAATCAAAATTTATGAACATAAAATGTTCCACATGAAAATATGAGATTAAAATAGTTGAAAAAGTAAATCCTTAGTTGATTTATTTTATCAGATTTATCTTTTAATTTAAAATTTGTTCAAGGAAAAATAATTTTCATAATTTAATTTAAAAAGATTAATATTGAATAAAAATAATACAGATAAATTATTTTTTTTATAGTAAACATTACATCTTTATTTCTTCTCTCAAAAAAACCTATAGTATATTTTTTTATACTTAAAAATAACTTGTTTAATGTATTGAAAATTAGAATGATGATAAAAAATCAATTTTGTTAAAAATCAAAGTAACAGTTATCTTAATTCTATTTGAAATTTAAAATTATGAAAGCTTATTTTACGATGTGTATTTTTGAAGATATATATACTTGAAATTTGTTAATAAAATTAAATAGATTACTTTTCATTAATCTTAAATTCAATTAATATGAAAAACTCATAAAAAGAGAAATAACATGATTGAATCATGTGTATAATAGATTTTATTTGAAAGGACATATCAAAAAACGAAAAAAAAATAAACGTTAAAACATATCATGCTTGTGTATTGAGGTGTGATAAATAAAATATTTATTATATACTTCACATGTAAATGTCACAATTGTATCATGTTCACTTCGTATTTAGTCAGTTCTTACTGTTGATCTTATTTCTATTTCGAATCATGTATTATTATACAATAAATATGAAATTTAAAATTCTCTGATAATTTAATGACATTTTATTTGACACATATTCATTCATATCACATCAACAACTTTCATGAATAAAGGAGCTTACGTAGTGAATACTAAAATGAGCAACTCACAGATCCAAGAATTTTGAGTATAATTGAATATTATATGTGAAGTTGTTTATCTGAATTTAAGACTCAATATAATTATAAAAATGACAGATAAACTTTATAATTTTTGATACATGTCGTTATTTAAAAGAGTAAAATCATATCAGAAGAAAAAAAACTGAGATCTTTGAAGTGATGTGATCAATTATAAGTACATGAAGAGTGAACAAAAGCATCGATACTTTGGTTATCAGTTTTAAAGTATTAAAAAACTAAAATACGTGAACACACATTTTACACTCTGACAGAGAGGTAGAAATGATTGTTTCGATAAACGATCCCGATAGTATTATGTTGCGTAAAATCACGGCTTGAAGAAATGCAACCAATGTGTGATGTACGACGGAACTCAACACGCAAAGGCTCTGAGCTTTGATGGAAAGAGTTTATTCGAATAATATATATTAAACAGAAATTCTCGAGCATGTGTCTTAAATTCAAGAACGCGTAAGAAACGGTGAGGGAACTTGTGAATTTGAAATTGCAATCAAGTTAAATCCTCAGAAATGGACGATGTGTGCATGGGCCGGGCGGCTGCTCCGGTGAGCATTATAAGCACCAACTCCGGGGCAGCCCCGTCTGTGAAAGAGAAATTCTCTACAGTCGAAAGCGCCCGCTGCAGCGGAAGTGGAAGCGTGGGACCTCGGAGAGATCGTGTCAGGATTCGGATGCCAAAGTCGAAATCTTGTGCGCTCGAGCTGAGATTCCGTCGTGACAGTCGAGCGTGGCATTTGGCCCAGGCGAGCAGAAACAAACAGGTGATGGAGGTTCTGCAATTTTCGCCCGTTCCTTGTCCGTGCATGGCGGAGCTGGAAATGAATCTTTCTTGCTTTTTTCGGTCAGTCGCGCCACGGTCTGCTGAATGTGGTGGGTAAATTGGTTGATGACAGCGAGCGAAAGTTCTAGACAGCAAGGATTTACGGGAGGGTGATTCGATAGGATTCGGCTGGCCTGGCGTGCTGGTGGACTGGGTGCATGCTTGGCAGAGTAGCAGAACACACATTCTGGTTTGCTTGCGGACAGACGGCGTGAGTATAATCGACAGAGAGTGCATGTGAGTCCGTAGCGATAGCTGGCTTTTTGAAAAGCGTATTTTGATGATATATATCCGTCCTTCCTCCACCGTTTACCAACCCAACCCATCCCAGGCGTTACGAATTTCTGGCCAGAGACTGCTCTCCTCACGCAAGCCCTTTCCTCAACGCACCTGGCTCTTGGAAAAAACAGCTCGTTCCAATCTTCATCCGTGTCTCGGTTCTGGCATTCTGGTGCATAGTGTCGTCCTTGGACATCGATTCGTGTGCTTTTGTTGCTGTTGTTGTTGTCATCCGATGATTCTCAGTTTTTTGGCATCGGGGTGCACTCCGTCCTGCTTCCTGTGTTGGACACTGAATGATCCGTTGATTTCATTCTGAGAGGTCTTCACGCAACTGTGTCCAGCCATATCCGTGATCTTACTCCGTTGTCACCTCTGTGCTGTGAGCAGGGGTAGAGGAGGTACAGAAGCGGGACATCGATACATCTTTCTACAATGGGAATGGAGTATAGACATTTGGGACAGACGGGATTGAAAGTAAGCGTGCTTTCATATGGAGCTTGGGTCACTTTTGGAAATCAGCTCGATGTGAAAGATGCCAAGGGATTGCTTTCTTGCTGTCGAGATGCTGGTGTGAACTTCTTTGACAACGCGGAAGTTTATGCTAATGGAAAGGCCGAAGAAATTATGGGACATGCAATTAGAGAACTTGGGTGGAAGAGATCAGATCTCGTTATATCCACCAAGCTCTTCTGGGGCGGACAGGGGCCGAACGATAAGGGTCTCTCTCGGAAGCACATTGTGGAAGGACTGAAAGCTTCGCTGAAGAGACTAGACATGGAGTAACTTTCTTTCCCTGTCTTTATAGCTCTAAACATTCACTGCTTTATGGTTGTGGTCTAAATCGAGCTGGCTACAGCAGTTTTCTCTAGCGAAGGCTTGAATTTACTGGACGTGATTAGTCATGCTGCCCGTATTTCCAAGATTCTCAGTTGGGAATCCAATTCATTTTCAAGAACATGATTTGTTTTTCCGCTGGTTTTTGTGGTCCACTGTACTGACATAACTGTTTACATCTTTATAAACAGTTATGTGGATCTTATTTACGCTCATCGGCCAGACACAAGCACACCCATTGAGGAGACTGTGAGGGCTATGAATTGGGTGATCGATCATGGGTATGCGTTCTACTGGGGTACCAGCGAATGGACTGCTCAGCAGATTACCGAAGCTTGGGATGTTGCCCACCGACTCGACCTTATTGGTCCTGCTATGGAGCAACCAGAGTATAATCTTCTGGCTCGTGAGAAGGTTAGTTCATTCTTTCAATTCTTGAGTTACTTAGCACAAAAGAATTTGGACGTTTTCTTGGATGTTTAAACCTTCCTGCACTACTGAAAAGATTTCTTCACTCTCTAGTAGTCTTTTATCGTCCTCCTCCTGTTTCTTGCCCGTCATTTTCAAAGGTTCAGTCCCTCCATAATAGCACTGCTCCATAGTGAGGCCATGGCAGTCACGTGTTGATGGCTACAGATTTTAGCTTTAAGGCTGAATATTGTCATTACCGATCTTTTCTGGCTTCCCTTCGTTGTAAACGAAGAGCCTTCTTACTGACAGACCTAACGAAGGTTATAGTAGCCAATGTTCTTTTTTGAAAAGACCATCCATCAAATGGGCAGTAGAGTATTTCAGTTCGTTTTCGTGTCTTCAAGTTTATTGGATAAAGACAGCCGTGCTTAACTACTCTGTTTTGTCCAATTGCTCAAAGTCATTTGTATACCAACAAGTGCTTCATATGATCATTGAAGTAATTTGGATGCCCATTCTCATTCATTTATGTGCGTCTACTTTGACAGCGGACTTATATGACTGAATTTTTACAGGTGGAGTCAGAGTATCTCCCATTGTACAAGCGGTATGGATTGGGTTTGACTACCTGGAGTCCTCTGGCCTCTGGGGTGTTTTCTGGGAAATATGGCAGGAACAACATTCCTCCAAACAGTAGATTTGCTTTGGATAACTACAAGGTATGTACTGCACCATCCTTTCTAAGTTTAAAATTATTACTGCACAGGAGAAACAGGATAGCAGATGATCTCATGTTGTTGATAGCTTGTCTTCAGAACATGTTCATATAGAAAGAACGCTGAATTTCTTCGTTCTTGCGCAGAACTTGGCTCAAAGATCATTAATTGACGAAGTTTTGAACAAAGTAGATGGACTGAAACCTATTGCAAAAGAACTTGGTGTACCTCTTGCCCAGTTGGCAATTGCGTGGTGTGCTTCCAACCCTAGAGTTAGCTCAGTTATCACAGGAGCGACCAAAGAAGCGCAGGTAAGACTGTCTCAGCTGTAGATATATTACGCAATCTCAATTTAACCGTGTTTTATATGTCCCCTTTTTTCTTCCGAAGGTTTTTGTACTGAAGCTGTTTCTCTTACAGGTTCTCGAAAACATGAAGTCACTGGAGTTGTTGCCCAAGCTGACACCCGCGATTCTTGATAAAATTGAGGCTGTTGTGCAAAGCAAACCCAAGATTGTCGATCAGTATCGGTGAACGCTATCCACGTGAGAAGGAAGACAAGCGGTAGACGTCCTTCGCTGTCGACACCTTGGAAGATGGAGATCCATTAAGCTCATTGTTGGCTGCAGTCGTCCGTCAAGTTAAAGAAAGTGTCTTCAGACTTAGCGACTCATTAGATTTGAAATTGCATTTACCACGGGGTCCTTAAAACATTCTTTACAACCTCTTGTGGACGAAGAACTTTCACGAATAGCTTCAAAGTATGTTGGGAACATCATCTGAACCTGTCGAGCAAGATCATTTACGAAAGTTGTTCCAACAGACATTGTTTCAGTAGCCAGATGGTGAGAGGTTGCCTTCTGATGCGACTGCGATGTTAAACGGAGAGAGACGCAAGGACACTTCGAGCCTTGTACCGAATGTTGGCAAAAGTCATGATAAAACTTTATATATACAGGAAAACGTAATGATGACAATCTTTTATCCTTAAAGCTTGGACTGAGGATGTTCATTACATGTTCAGTGGTAAGGATATTGGAAGTGATCGGTGTCAGTTGTTTGCATTCTTTCTGTTCTTTTGAAACGGAAAGCCAAAAGACTCCCAGGTCCTGACATGTAATAGAAAGAAGTCAAAATTAGAATCGCAGTCAGTGTGCCGAAGTAATCTGTCAGTGGAAGGCTTAATCGCGAGCATTTAAAATATCTACTTATTGAAAGATGTGAAATACAAGAAAAAACGTGGAAGTTTCTAGCAGAATGTGAAGTTCAAGAGTAGTACGCCGTGTGCCAGTTCAGCCCACTAAAAGCGGAAACGTAAAAGACACGACACCCTGAGAAAAAAATATATGACGTGTAAAAGGAGCTTTTCTTGAAGTTTAGAAATTTTTTTCTTAGTACAGACCAACTTTGTTGTCATTAACACACACCACAAGATCATAGACCATTCCATGGTTGAAGTAAGAAAATAACTTCCAAAGTTGATGAATCAAATATAGGATCTGGATTCATCAGTGCTGATATTCTTTCTTCCTATCACCATTTTTTGAATTAACCAAAAACATATTCTATTTTGAAAATCTGAAGATTAAGCCATCCCAGATCTTGAGATAGAGTTCAACAGAAAATTTGTTAGTGAGCTTTTCGTAGCTGTAAACGATTTGGAAGTACCTAAAGATTACTTAAAGCTAGATTGGGCATTGCACCAGATCTGGGTTGATCCCACATTCAATTATTATAGTTAGATATCAGAAAAGGATATTAATATTTAGTAAAATACCACACTGATCAAGTGTATCTCAAGTACTATATATACTGTAATTACTAATTATCACTGTGGTTTACACTAAATGAGGTTTGAAGAGCCAGCAAATCCACCTACAAATACTACCTAAGGTGCGGAATTGCAAGTAGTATTAACCACTTGGCATATTCAACGTAACTACAGTCTAGATTCAGGGATTATAAAGTTTGAATACTGAATCGAGATTGGAAGTGATTAAAAAGGAAGAAGTATGAGCAACATGAAGAGATGACAAAGTTTCAAAATTATGGTTATTAGTAACCTCCACACGATCCATTGGAATGAAAATATATTGACAAGTCATAAATGGAAAGTTCATAATCAAATTCATACATCATACATGTATATGTTGTATGCTTTGTTTGAATATACATATTGGACACATTGTATAATCAATTGTACCTGTTTGATCGTGATTTATATATTCAATCTTTTAACCTAACATGTATAATATACATGTTAGGTTAAAAGAACACTATGTGTTTCTTTACACGAAGTAAGTTGTCGTCACCTTTGTGAAAGTTACTATTAATAGCTTTAGCATGGACAAATGATTTTTACATCGGAAATGGTTGAGTTTTACTATTCGTGCGCTTGTGTGCATACGATAACCCCTTTTCTCTTAGTACAAGGAATTAGGATGATCCTATTGTATAGTTGTCCAAGCTTTAATATCAAAATATAATAATTGTGTATACTATATTGATAGAATAGTAGAACATCAAATTTTTTTTAAAGCTCTTATGCTGAACCTTAATTAAGTAGGACTTACGCTGAAAGTTGGAAAAGTTTTGAGTTCTCAAAACTCGGCACATTGTTTTCACAACATGGATTTGGTTTTTCTTCTACGCATGTGCCTTTCTTTTCTTTACAAGCTACTGCATCCTGCTCGTTGATTTAAGAAAGATTTTTTATGCTACTTGCTTGTAATTGGGACTGTACATTTGATAGACATTGGGCATGCTATACATTTGGCTGTCACATGATGACATCAGAGATGTGCAGTTTAGTGTAATCCGACCTATATATGTCTGGAGTTATAAGTCATGGCTGCATATGTTAGATATTCAAATGCAAGAGATGAAAAAATAGCATATTCAGTAATATTCTAAGTACAGAAGATCTTACGAGAAAAAAGGTCCTTTCAAGTTAGTAAATGATTGGGCCTTCGGACATGATTTTCATAATTATCGGAAGGGAAGAGAGCCTATGTATCAATATACAATCGTATGGAGTTTTGTAGACAGCGCAATACGATACACACTAATTGCAAATGGGGCGGCTAGTTATCCCTCACCTTGGGTTAATTAGTACTCATTCTACTAGACGAAAATCATTCATTAGTTCACTCGGATTATAGTGTGGGTGCGGTAAAAAAAAACTGTTGGTAGATTCCAAAATGCCCTCAAACATGCCGTTCTAATAGTTAAGGTAAGTGAGGTGGCTGAGGACCCTTCAAAGATCATATGTTTATGGCCGGACCAAAATCACAGCGGCACTTACAGCTAACCGTTCACTCTACAACATTCAAACTAATGAGTTCTACCATCCGAGCTTGTGAAATTTACCCATGTAGCTTCCTTCTTGCGGGTGATAACTTCGTTCGACTTCGTGCTGCTTTAGATCGAGCTACTAGTTTAGTTGACCAAGATGTTGGTTTCATATAGTTGTCTAGCTTACCCGGTTTCCTGGAGTATGGCAATGTAATGCCTTCGAAACTATAAAATGCTAGGCACAAACTATATATGCTTTAGATTTGGGGAAAAGAAACCGTCAATAAGAAAGACAAGAAACTAGCAAATTTTTTTTTCACCTCACGTACCCTATAACCTGAGTGAACCAATGATATAATAGGGTGAGATCTAATTAACCCCATGTGAGGAATAATAGCTGTCCACTGCAAATATAGATATTAACATTATTTTGAGCTTGTATAATTCCTTGATTAATCGCTACATCTTGTGATTACATGCAGTAGATATAAGAGTAACCGTGAGAAGACAGGGAATTTAGGAGTATGAGTATCTTCTCTTTCCATATGCGCGAGGGCTGAGCCTCCTTGGCTTTCTTGTCTGCTATTTTTTGTCTTCTTTGATTTTCTTGCGATGGTTACACCATCATGCTTTTTTTCCCTGAGTTGCTCCCTTTCCCGTACAAGTGCACGATGAAGTTGAGTTTTGGCCTGTCAACAAATATCATGACGATCAAACGGGAGTACAGTACAGAAAATTACGTGGAAACCAGCAGGACGAGACTAATCGGCCTCCCGTCCAGGTTCAAGTGTCCCAGTCAAACGGTAGGTTGGAATGCATAACGTAGCCGCTTCTGGGCGAGCCCATATCAGGTTATCAGACATCGATGAACAGTGCAAAGGTCTTCTATTCTAGTGAGTGAAAAATCGTGCAAATTACTTGATGGGACCCGGGGAAACTATAAACACTTGTATAATTGCACCCAACACGTTTCATTTTACACTATGGGACCCTTAACGGCCCTACAAGCCCAACGTCAATGATATACCAATACTATCTAGGGTTATTTCGAGTAGAACATGAAATCAAGACAAGACCATACGGGGAGTAATTCAGACTCATGGTGCCCGTCGTTTTCTTACACATGGTTGAGAACGAGTCGCCAAAGTTCTCTGGCCCGACAGAGGCGGACACTTCCCTCTCTATAGAGCAAATCAGTAGATTATAAGAACATGGCTTACCGTGGCCGATTCATTTTCAGGTAAAATGAAACCTGTTGGTTACTTCAAGAGAATTGAGTTTCCAAGGGTCCTATCAAGTAAATTACTAGGGAAAAATCGGAAATGATAAGTGAAAAAAGTTAAAATATATACACATCTCCGAATTTCCGTTTTTGCTCCTCATTTGCTTTTCTGTCAACTGTTGCTTTCCATTTAATGTTGACTGAACCAGGGCTTAAGAAACTGAGCACTGGAGGAGGTTGGGGATTTCTGCTTTCCATCATCTGACCGCGTATCCCTAATAGAGAGCACAAAACTAGAGCATAGAATTCAACAAGAGATCCCGAGCAAGTAAACCAGTCATGCGAGAAATGACGCAGGAGAAATGTTGCTAAGTTTGTTAGACAACCCTTAAGCCAAGGTCAGTCGATCGTGGCTGGTTTCTTTCTTCTTCCGAAGTAGGAAAAAATAAATTTGGTGACCCTTGTGTTACAGGTCATGTGAGCTCTGACATTCCACCATACGCAGATTCGATGTGGCCAAGTGGCATTATATAATTAAATATGACTGGAAATCAGCTCTCACATTCCACCGTAAGCAGGTTCGATGTGGCCAAATGATATTTTGAAATTAAATATGACTAGAAATCAGGTGCTCAACTGTCTGAGTTGAGGACCTAAGCATGAGTCAAAGCCCTAAGATTACATATCCAAAGAATTCACATTCAGCTTTTGAACAACAGGGCCATACACAAGTAAACGACCATAAACTAAGAGCATGCAATTTTTGTGCGGTGTTGTGCTGTTCATGTATGCAGACAAGGTCCAATAACCTTCACAAACATCTTACTGACAAGCACGCAACTTGACAGTGTTATCGATGTGTACAATCGTGAAAGACTTTTACACAATCGTAAGAGATAGTTTCCTGCGCTGACAGCCCTTTGTGTTGCCTAAGCTTGTGCCTCGTATGAATCTACTTGCAGCCAGGATGACTAACAATTTATAGTCGAAAATTCTACCAGACAATGTACATATACCATTTTTTAAAACATCGCACACGGACATATGTAAAGGTCCCTGGATGTAGGAGAATGAAAGCAATCACAAAACACTAATATGTAAGAGACGAAGGAGACATGGCAAGAGTTTCCTCTCTCAAGGGAATCTCGGCACTGCCCAATCCTGGTCACAGCATTACAACTTCTCGGTACATGACTACAAGCAAGAATTAGGCCATGAACTAATACGAGTAATGATAAAACAGAAACACACCACATACTCGTCATTCAGTATGAGGCTAACGCATCTTACAGTCCACAAGCCCAAAAACTCTTACATAGATCGCACAACCAAGATTAAAGTGAATGTGACGAGAAACAGTTTCTACATCATCATATTTCTGATCGTATGAAGCTAAAAATTTGAATTCCTACGTCTTCCCTCTACAATATGCAGATAACAGCAAGTGCTACGTGCCGGCCTCTCCTTCACTGCAAAGGCTTTTGAAATAAGCCTCGTGTGGAGGGCAGAAAAAAGTCAGAAAGTGGCTGTCCTGAAGTGATTCCAGTGGAATATAGGGAGAGCCTAAGACTTAAACAGCCTAAGATGATGAGTAGCAAGAAAGGAATCAAAACTCTTGTTGGTCACCGTCTCTTTCCACCGAAAATTTCGTCGTCGGTCCATGCACGGTCGACCTCTTTATCAGTGACTGGTTGAGTGTTGAATCCAGCTTCACGCATTCTCTCAACCGTCCTCATCAACATATCTCCTTCACCAGCGCTGTCATATGAGTCTGCTAGAATTTGGTAGGTCTCCGCTGTCGGTTGGGCGTCTTCAGCTCTCTTCATCTCATCAAAGACGTCTTCCATCTTGTCAAACATTCTGCCCTTCCCATACTCGTGCAGTAAGGTGTGGAAAGTGGTCAGCTGATAGGTCCATCCCAAGCCCTTCACCCGGGTCAAGGTCTTCTCGAGCCCTTCAAAGTCGGACTTCTCACCATAGGCTTCGATCACCGACTCTAATGTCTTGGGAGTGGTGAAGAGCCTCCTGCTGGCCAACATAACGTCAATAGTTCGTTCCATTTCTTCGATACGACGTGTCTGAGCATAGGCTTCGATGGCCAAGCCATAAATTCGTGAGGTGCACGACGTGCCTGGAGTATTGGCAACAATCTTCATGATTCTTTCCATCTTCTCGAAGTGTCTCTCTGCAGCATAAAACTCCACCATGATTTCAGCAATCATGGCGTTGATCGCGAATCCTTCCTCCTGCATATGACTGAAGGCCGCTTCCATCTTGTCCAGTGCAGAGGCCTTTGAAAACCCGATGATGAGGGCGCTGAAAGTGATCGGGTCAGGTTTACAACCTGCCTTCATGAGCTGCTCGTAAATCTCCTCCATCTTGTCGAACATACCAGCCCTCATGTAACCCCAGATGAGCGAGTTGTAGGTAAGTCTGTCAGGGAAAAAACCGGCTTCCTTACAGGCCTCGAAGTAAAGTTCCATGTCCTGTACACTCAATTTGCTGTACATCGCAATCAGGGTATTGTAAGTTACAAGCGTAGGTTTGCAGTCATCGGTCTCTTGCATTTCTTTGAACAGGGCAATGGCTTGGTCGGCCTGGTTGTTCTTCGAATATGCGCTTATGAGTGCATTACAAGTGATAGGAATGCGTTTCACGCCTTTCAACTCCATTTGCTTGAACAGAGTCGTAGCCAAGTCGAGTTGATTGAGCTTCCCCGCAGTCGAAATCATCTTCGCGTACTCTTTTGGATCTCCTCCATCAAACTTGTCTTTCTTCCAGTTGAAGACCTAGAGAGCATATGTTCAGATGAGAAAAGTTAAACGCACTGGAAGAATATCGGAACAATTACAGGTTTTCCCCAAATCAGGTATTCCATCATAATCATCAAATGTCCGACTGAAAGTGAGCTCATCAAGTGGTGAAAATACGGAAAGAAGATAAAACATACACATCAAGCTTTGAGAAATTCAGAGGCAAGAGGAGGGATGCTCTACATTCTACCCACCTCTAGGGCCAGATACGGCTTGGGTCCTCGTTGCAATGCATCCAGAAGAGGCATCCAGGGCCAGCGCTTGGTCTCTGTAAGCTCAGCAATTCGGTCATCCAGGATTTTCTCCACATCGGCGTTGCTGGGAGCGGCTTCCAACAACCTGACCATGTGAGCCACGGTCGAATTATTGCCCGCCCGAAAGAACCTGTCATTCCTGGGCTTGGGATCTGGCGCTCCGGGGTGTCGTGCAGGAACATAATACGACTTCTCCTTGACAACAACAGGCACCGGAGGAGTCGCAACATCGCCGGACTCGGCAACCGTGCAGAAACGGGCAGAATTCAGCCCCGACCCTCTCAGCGCGGCGATCTGCGGCTCCTGGCAAATGCCTCTGCTTCCAGCAACCCCTTCGACGACGGGCGCGCCCCAGGCCCTCGTCCGAGACTGAAGATCGGATGTGAGACCGCGGCCCGAACTGCTACTGCTTCGCAGCTTGTCACATTGGCCGCCCACGGCCCTGAGCAAAGACAGCAGCTGACCGCCTCCCCTCACCATCACTCGCTCGATGGCGCCTCCTCGCCTCAATTTCGCACAGCCACGGCGCACTTGCTCCGTGTTCGACTCTCACGACGAAGGACGATTTCCCAGCGGATCGATCGGTCGATGACGCACGAACCAATTCACAATCGCTCGCAGAGCCCCCCTCGAACGAGTGCCAGTGTCAAACCCCCAGGAAGGTCGACCCCCTGCTCCTCCACGCCTCCCTTCCGCAGACCCTACCAAACCACGTAGATTAAACCTCAACCGTGGTCGCTTCCATCCACCCGGTACATCGGCCGGTGTAGAACATTGCAGTATACAGGACGGCACAACTCAGTCAGTACTGGAGTCCCACCACGACCACGCACGTTCGTCCAGTAGGCAAGCTTTACTCTGTTCTCAGCCGTCAGCATCCATCCAGCAGCCAAATTCCACAGTGCCAAGCGAATCGTTCGGGAAGAGAATGTCTGAAGGAGGCCATCCACGTCAGTCTCGCTGATTGACACGTCATTATATAAACTCATGCCTACTCAGCAAAATGCTGAGTGTTTCTGTCCAGACTCCGGATGCCGCGCGAGCCTTGCAGATAAAAGGCGCGACCAGTGCGGTAGCGGACAGTGGAACCCGCCAGGTGCGCATCGACAACGAGAGGGAGAGAGATCCACGACGGGCATGGGACCCTGTCGGATGCGCGGAGTGTGTAGAACAGTAGAGGCTGAGAAGAATCGAGCGAAATCTTTTGTGCCCATCAGAGCGTCAGAGGAGTAGAGGGAAAGTGGGCCTCAGAGGAAGTGAGCTCTGTTCTTAGAGGAGCTCGCAGTATGAACTCAGCTATGGCATTGTCCGCCTCCAGCTCCGTTTGTGGAGCGAATTCTGTTCTGTCATTGCGACATGCTCCTGCGGGGCCGACTACATCTTCGGTGAGATTGGTGGGAGTTGCGGGACGGAGAAGCAACTTCGCAAGCGCTAGCAGCAGGAGGAAATCTCAGTGGGCTTTGGCTTCATCGGACAGTGATGTAAATTCGACGGAATCCAAGGGGAAATCGACGAAAACGGAGGAAAGTGTTCCGGCATGGGCGCAGCCCGGGACTGATGAGCTTCCTCCGTGGGCGAAGAGTGATCGTCCTCCGACTCAGGAGCCCACCCAGGATGCACCATTTTTCGTGTACTTGATAGGCTCCTCCCTCGTTGCAATTGCTGCGGTAATTCTCCACTTTCGTTTTCTCTGGTCCAGGATTGTCTTCTTTTGCTCTTTCTTTGCACCCTTCTATTCTGCACATTGGAAGGTCATAGCATAAAGTATCCGTTATTCGCTGATCCTCAAGATAGGAACTCTTGGGGAGAAACTTTGAGACTGGTTACTACGTTCTAAGCAAGCTATGGAGTACTGTTCTGTTATAATTCGATCGGAACAGTCAGTCGGTAGGTGCACTTCCCATTTCATTTCACAAGGGGAGCGAGACCTTTGACTCGGACAAACAGCTATGCCGTTTGTACGAGTAGCTGTAGTAAAAACGACATAGCTGGTGAAGAGGCATATAAGAGGAGTACATTATAGTTCCAGACACATTATTCTTCAAGAAAATGCTAGAGAATCTACCTGTTTTCGGGGTCATATTTAAAGGTATTTAGAGTATCTGCGTTCTCCTTACAGGACATCGTGAGTGTATGAGCTGACGGGCTGTTGTTAGCTCGTTTGGGAATTGTAATTGTCTCCCGAGAGATTACTTCTGAGGTTCCCTTGAATCTCGAAGACGAGCCGTGTAATCTTCTCTTTTCGAATTTCATGCTTAGCAGCGGTAGGTAGTTGTAGTGGGCTATTGCAGTTTCATGGGACGAATTACTTTAGAGCATACAGCTACCCGCAGCATGTATGAGTAATATGAGTGCCAGGATGAAAGCAACAGTTGAAGAGTCTTGCAAACACATATACTCTGGTAGGGAGCTCGTTGCATTATCACCTTTGCAATTGTGATGTCACTGCAGTGGGATACATATTATACTCAACCTTTTGAGTGGCGCAATATCTTCTTGTCTACAGGTTGGCTCTATTTTTGAGTATTTCAACAAGAACGCTGTCTTCGGTGTGGTGCAACCGGACAATCCACTGTGGGCTCCCATTCTTGGTTTCTTCGCTTTGACTGGTTTCCCCACCGCAGTAAGTACCTGCTCTCCTCTGGTAATGACTGCAGACTATTAGCTGCTTAAGGTGCTCTCAAATGATTCGAAATGACTTGAAACGATGGAAATGCACAAAGGTCCTTAAGGTTCAGTTTTCATAAATGATTCATGTGCCAGGTGGTGGGTTAAGCTTACCGCTGTGAGACTCCACAGGTGTGAATGATTTAGTGTCAAAGTTAATGATCTACTTCGAGGTTTGCTGAGGAAGAGTTTCTGGAGATACTTTTACCATGTGATGGTTTTCTAAGCAATAGCATCGAGGAAGGTTTTATTATATTTCTTGATTTTTGGTGATGTGCTAGCGTTGACACTATCTGCTTTGGTGGTTTTCGGAATGCAGGGTTTCCTTTTTTACAAGTCTATTACTTTGGCAAACAAGGCATCCGAGGACATCGACAGAGAAGATGGTGTTTCAGATCGATAGGTTTCAAAGAGCAAGTGCTGCTCATTTGTGAGCTCAGACTGCAAGTTCAGTTCATTTGTAATCTATCTCCAGTGGTTGATAAGACCAACTGATATGTCCAAAAAGAGCGGCCCCTAACCCCGAGTCCCCAACTCGAAGGGGTTTCCCGTTGGCTGTAACGATATGTAAATGTAGGTGGATCGTCTTCTGGCATGCTTGAATTACTGTTTCCGAATTCGGATAGCATCATTATTATCAAGCACGCTCAACGAAGTGAAGGCAGATCTCTCGAGGCTTCTGACTGCTCATTTAATATGACAAGACATGTGTGTAACATAATGCGGGAATTGAAACTTTTGCAAGTGTGCCTTATTTGAAGGAGTTATAGCCCTTTTCAATGTTCTTTGAAAGAATGTCATGACACAGTATTTAAGCATCATGCTTCCTGTGTGTGCATTCATCAGTGGATCTGTGAACTAGTGAATGCAGGCGTAACGTTGTTACATGGGTCGTCATTTGTTCAGGAATACAGAATTCCCAGTTTAAGCGCCTTGCAGTAAACATTTGTCGTTATGATGTGAAACATCTGTGTCATGCGAGTTTGACCTTTGAGGGCGTCGAGGTCCAGAGTCTCGATCCATTAACCATCGTACGGTGCCTTCACGTTTTGTTCCGGAGGTGAAGATGATTAATGGATACGATGGAATATGTGTTTACTTTTTTCTCATAGTTACAAGTCAATTATTGCTCATTGAAAGGTGAATTTGAATGTATGCTCTACAAGCGGAAATTCAACGCATGTAGCGTAGCAATATGCCAAGTAGTTTAAGTTCCTTCTACGAGCTTTCATCCCGCCTGCAACATACTCTATTTGATTTCCGCGTCCATACAATATACACACACCGTTTAATTCATGGGCATTGAGTGGAGCCTCTGTCTCTTCCAATACCCTATATTTGGAACGAAAAGACGTTTCACGGATGAGCTTGTGACATAAAGACATGTCTCAGAATTTCTGTACATTTAGCGTGATCTTGGTGGCAAATATCTAAGTTGACATACTATTCAATAACGCCAAATATTACACTATGTCAAAAAGTGCATCTCTAAATTGCTCACCACTGCTCCACAGGGGTGAAAAGAGCAATGCTTCTTACAAAACGACTGAACTCAATTATCTATACAAACACAGAAGACTATTCGTAATGAGGCTGGAAATCATCCCTTCCTTTCGGAATGGCTTGCGTCTGCACATTTAATCATCGAAACATATATCCGAAACTCTCTATAGAAGATAAACATCAAAACTGTCAGAGGAGTGCGGCTACCAGTTATGGCTATTGTTAAGAATACTTCCTGGTTTGTAGAGATAACTCGGTGACATGACCATATTTAAAATATTGCAAATCACCATACTTTACATTTGATTTCTGCCTTGAACGGACAGACAATATCGTCGAACACAAAAAACAATACTCTCAATTTTGACAACAACACTCTACAGACTACATAAATGCCAACACAGCAAATTGTTGATAATAGACTGTCCCAGTGAATGGAAACTGCGGCATTCATTGCGAGTGGATGGACACAAGCCAACACAGCAAATTGTTGATAATAGACTGTCCCAGTGAATGGAAACTGCGGCATTCATTGCGAGTGGATGGACACAAGCCAACACAGCAAATTGTTGATAATAGACTGTCCCAGTGAATTGAAACTGCGGCATTCATTGCGAGTAGATGGACACAAGGATATGAAAACGCTGGACTCATGTGATATGGATGGTTCAAAAATGTCGGATACATATGATGTTCCGCAAAACTGTCGGCTAGAGGGAAAGCTATAACCCATCCTCTAAGCCGCTCTTTGAGCAGCTTCCTTGGCAAGAATTTTCTCCTTGATCTTGGTCTTAGCCTGGGACTTGACACCCATGATGCCTCCTCCCCATTGCTTGCGGTACTCATCATAGCGGTCGTTGAAGTTAGCCTGTCGAATTGGAGGATAGATAAAACGCAGTTAGTTAACACTGCACATAACATAACTTGAGGTGTCCAATTGTCTTAAGCTGTCAAAAAACATAAACAAATATATACAGAGATATCAGCTATGTACCTTCACAGCCTCAACAATCTTGCTGAAGTCATGTTTGTCTTCATTCTTTACTGAGGTTAGGCAAAGAGCGGATGCAGTCTTGCTGTGGATAATTTGACCGAGTCTAGACTTGCCCTTCACGATAGCATATGGGACTCCCATCTTGCGACACAAGGCTGGAAGCCACACCACCAACTCAATGGGATCGACATCGTGAGCGATAACAACGAGCTGGGCCTTACCCTGTACAGAAACCAATGCAGAATTATTAACCAGTAGAAATAAAAACAATGACCAGAAAGTGTCCCTTTTAGAAACATTTTGTTAAATGACGCGGGGAATCAACTTCGGTTCATAATAACTTAATATATTCACTTGGATAGTTGGACAAAAAAAAGAAAAAACTTTCATTGGATGCCCTTCCAGATTGAAAAGATTTTCATCCGAAATTAAATTGACGTCTTTCGTTCAAAATGGATAGTTGGAACGAGAGAGAAACGCCCATACACATAGGATCCCAGCATAATATATCTACCAAATGTTTTCTCCATTAACAAATTACTCGCGACGAGGTCATTATTATCATGCGTTGCCCTAAACGCGAATCCTAATAAAATAGAGGGAGGATTTTGAGGATGATGGATGAGAAGACTTGCCTGTTCAATCAGGTAAGTGACGTGGTTGAGACCATATTTCACAACAATAGGCTTCTTGGTCTCGACGGTCTTTCCCTCAGCCTCAGCCTGAGCCTTCTTCAGAAGACGCTCCTTCTTGGCAGCCTTGTCCTCAGGCCTGTACTTCAAAAGCATCTTAAACAGACCAGCAGCTGCGATTTCCAACCCATTTCAGGAATCATAAGTGCTCCTTCGAACGGAGGTCGCAATCGACTTCTTAAAAAATATTAAACACCGTCAATTGCAGTATACACGTTTGCTTGGTTTCCTTAACATCATTCGGTGTCCTACCCGAAGACGGCGCAATCAATATGCTGATCGGAGCAAAAAGAGGTGAGCGTAACATATGCCCACTACAATTTTCAATTAGGGTTTCATTGCACGTGATATTAAGTACGGCGGCAAATTTTAAATGTTTGCAATTAGAATCCAAACAAAAGAATGCCTACTGACAGGCAATGGCTGCTGCACACTCATGCCCATCCGACGAGGGCATTAGAATGTAGTGAACCGACAGTCAGTTCAAGTTTTCTCAAAACTTCAGCTCAAGTTGAATGCTCTTCTTATTAGGGTTGATGAAACATTCCAGACCAGGTGACAGGAAAAATGCAGACAACGCACACGGTAGTAGGGGATCCCTGAAACAGTAGGATACTGACCCAAATTCTTGTCCAAACATTTGGTGAACTGGTTGAGGGCTGGGGGCACTTTCAGTCGCTGGTTCAGGACACGGCGTTGTCTTTGAATGCGGACATACTTGGGCCACTTCACGAATCGGTGAAGATCCCTCTTAGGCGGGAGAGAACCTCCAATACCAAATTGCTTGGGGCGCTTCTCGAACAAAGGGTTGGCGACTTTCTCGACCACCTGTATTCATTTCGAAGTTAGATGAGATCTCTGTACTACATCCTCGAGAGGCTCCTTTCCTAGGCAACAGAAAGCTCGAGTCGGACGAAAAGCTTCCGCGCGTACCTTTTTCTTCTCAACAGGCGCTGGTACACTGGGCTTGATGTTACCCCTTTTGGGTGCCTGCTCATTAATCACATCCAAGAAGGTGCATGAGATGGACAGCAATCACAACTCGCAGAGTTTCCTCTCGTCACACATTCCCCAGTTCGGACCTTCCAAGCAGAACAGAAAACGGGACGAAAATCCTATCGTGAGGCATTTCGAGCTGCACACATTTCCTTAACATCCATTCGGGAGCTACGCCATACACATCCAGGAACAAAATCACCAAACGGACACACGAACTCACCATTGCGGATCGTCGTGCAGAAACGCAAGGAGGGCGTCGATGTAATGAAAAAGACTTGCTCTATCGCGACGCCGGGTATTAGTCAAGGCGTTAAGCGCCTCCGTAATCTCTGATTAGCTTAAGCTACACCGCTAATAATGACAAGTTCACTCACAGCCGCCTTTCTCCTCCGGTAGGAGACGACACAGTCGAGCCCATGTCAACCTAAGAAGACAACTGTGGTCACATCCGGCTAAATTTCCCTCCAAGTTAGCAAGGCGCTACTTTATCTGCAGGTCTTCTACAGACCTACATGTCAATTGTCAGTGATTCCGAATCGTTGGCTTTTGGCTTTTGGCTTGTTGAGCTCAAGTCTGACTTTGACGCACAGATATGAATCACTTGAGAAATGTACTCATGCACTTCATACTCTTCAGGTAAGATATGATGCAAGGTTTCGGACACGGTGATTCGTTCGGATACCTGTGATGAATTTAATTTCGGTAGGGCTCGATCGAAAATGATTTGAGGTATGTCAATGAAGAGTGGCTACTATCCCCATTTGGTAAAAGGACAAGAGTTCAACTGGTATGTATCTTGTTCTCTGCAATCTGGAATGTCAAATCAGAATCCCCAAACATTCAGTCACACGGTCGTCGGCCGTCCCTGATCTTAGTTACGTGAGATACCCCATCAACAGACAGAAAATGTTCAATCGATCCTACTTTTCATCACCGTCCACAACCCTACCTCCCACACTGGAGCTTTGCCACTCAGATCAGTTATGCCTGGTTACGACAGAGTTAACCGACTTCTTCCATGATTGTTGTGAGGGTTGGCTCAGACGTGGCTACAATAGCGTCTTTGGTTCCTTTGCAAGCTTCTTCTTCCGTACCAGCACACCTTATGCACAATGAAACCCTTGTCCGAGTGAGATATCAATCTGAATTTGAGTACGTCATTTCTCCCTTTGGTCCCACCTGAGACCTACAATCTTAGTACGTACGGGGAGTAAACGGAAGCATCATTTCCAGGTTGGAGCCTGATGCATCAGGGTATCGTACATTGTGAGACCATAAAGGAGCTGCCTCGTGGTTTGGCGACGTAAGAGATCTAAACACATGCCCGGGGAGGGCAAACACATGCCAGGTAGATTTTTCAGCGAAAGCCACTCCTGTTCTTCGTATTGACAGAGTTCATCCTGTCCAGAGTTTAAAACTTACACGTCGAACCGAAATCTCGAACAGCAGAACCATTTTCTTCTTGTAGGGTAGCTCATTTTAATCTATGAAACGAGGCACCGATTTTCTGCGTATACAAGCATACGTCAACACTCCTGTGTGCAGTGATCGGATCATACCGAACTCCGACAACTCTCTGGATAACACGGGACACTATTATCATCGTCCGTGTAATAGAGAGAGAGATGCTTGATATGGGAACCGATGACTGACACTAACATCCATCATAACATTTCCAAACTAGAAATGCCTCACTACGAGGAATTATCCACAGTTTATTTCGTGGGTCTCCAAAGCAGCGACCACAGATTTAGTGAGGAAGTTGGGCTGGACCCAACCTGACGCCAGCTATTGATCACAATTTGACCACAAAGGGTCAGTTTCCAATTTCAAGGGATTTGGTCTCCAGCAAAGATCACAACCCAGATGGAAAGCTCTTGGCCCAAAAATACAGGATCCACCATATGACTGAAATCAATAAAGATGGCGGAAAACGCTCTACACAGAGAGCATTCACAGTGGTATCTCTTCAGGCCAATCCGGCATCGGTGTGTGGATATGGCCGCAGTGAGGCCTTCAGAGTCGACTATGTCGCAAGGACAATTCTCAATATTTGCAAGATTTTGAGTTGATAACATATACACTGAGCCCAAAACAAAGACTCACTTCAGACATTTTTTTATCCGAAGGACGGCTTCCATTGTGGAAGCTTAGTTTCTGAAGATCACCGTGGATGCTTAATATAAACTCTTCAAGGCTGTGTATGAAAGGGTATGAGTCCTGTGTAACTGGGACATTAGTTTCTCTATAATGGCTCATTGGAACCAGCAAATCGCCTCATTCACCAATCAATTTTGGCATCAAAAAGTAGAGTGGCAGCTGTATATCGTGACGGACTTGGATAACTAGGCCTCAAGGGTTACTTGTCAGAAGTGGTGCTGCGTTGTTTGGGACCAAGACGCGAGCATACTTGGAGTGCAGCCATGGTGGAAGAGGGTCCCTTGGTGGGGGAGGAGGGAAAGCCGGCTTTGCTTCTCGCAATTCATTTGGTCGATCTACAAACCTGTATATAATACAGCATAATCAGACTATAGCAGATGACGAAGTTGATAATAGTCCACAGGTTTAATAACAAGAGAAAGCATGGTCAGATAAGAAAGGCGTATAAAAAAGGGTAGCATTTTGGAAGCTACTGATTTGTGATGCAGACAGAAACTTACTCGATGTATGCCATGGGGGCTGCATCTCCTTGCCTAGTTCTTGTTGCAAGGACACGGGTGTAACCGCCACATCGAGCCCTGTAGAGAGTGCGGGTTCGAAAATCAGTATAGGCATGGAATGGATTATGATGAGATGCAGTATTTTTTACGTCCGATTATGTAGCCACAAGAATCCCAAGAAACTCACACAATGCATACGTCTTTCGTGCTAAGAAGTAATAGTTGAAGTTCCACATAGGGAGAGGTTCATGACTTTTTGGAAACAACTCAATCAGATTTCATAACTGCAAGTAGATCTTATTACAGGACGCACAAGAAAACCAAGGACTAAACGCAACAGTGCAAGTTAGGAGAAGGTGTATAAGAAACTGTTTAAAAAACCTACTGATGAAATTCGCTTATTGAGCAGTAATCCCATTTTTCGTTTGCAAAGACAAGACCAAGCCTAACGCTCACAAACTTACTCCAAGCATATAATAAAGTAGAACAGTTCACACTTGTTGCAACCCGCAATCTGGACATACTTACTGGTACCGGGTAGCAAGTTCAGTGAACAGCTTGTGAAGAATTTCATCTCCATGAACAATTCCACCAGCCTGCCTTCGAGCAGCAAGTGTGCCCTGCAATTTACGAAAATAGAAAAAAGTCAAAGACTTATCTTGGACTTAAGAGGATCCTCCGAATGCGGTAGACAGGCCTCAATGATGCATAATTAGAACAAAATTGGAAACTGAAAATTGGCTTTTGAGCCTATTTGTACCTCTTTCCCAAGAGACACCATGTTGTCGGCAACTCTCCGCAGCTCTTTGGCCTGCAAATTGCTGTGATGAAATCAGTCTCCGTACAGAAATAGGTGCATTTGGGGCTAATAATTTCGAACTCACACATTTATTTTCACCACCTTAAATAATCGCAAATTGCCTCTCCACAAATCGCATTCTTGCCGGCTAAGTGAATCAAAATTTTACTGTGTCGTCCTTCGTAAACTCCCAAGAAGGCACTTTGCTCCTCCCAAAATTAAAAGGAACTTCCTTATGTAGTGATAACATATTAACTGAATTGAACAAAGACGTCCAGAAATTCAACCAAGACAATGAATGTACAGAGACCATCAGCTGAGAATCCCTCGGATCACTGTACCCCTAAAATGCAGTGCAGAAATGTTTCAATTGGAGGTGACGAAATTCGAAGATCAGACGATCGAACATCACGAGTAATTGTTTATCACACTGAATGTAGTAAGTAAACTTTGAGCTATTTTAAAGTCAGTACCTTCGGTAGAGTAGTTTCGATCCGCTCATGACGAATCAGCTCCGTTACCAGGTTCCTTCACCGGATCGACAATTCGTACGTTAGTAGATCTTCAAAACAACCCTCAAAACAGATCTTCCGAAGAGTAATATCGAACGATTCAAACGCAATTTGGAACAAAATGCAATGCAATACCTCAAAAGGGCCCATCGATGAGATGAGGTTCGACCCAGCTTTCGCATAGAATTCCGGTGCTTCATCGCGAAGAGATTTGCACTCCAAGGCTCAAATTCTTCTACTAAGAGAGCGCGATCACAATCCAAAATCTTCGTGCAATCCTTGCTTCGAACGATGACAAGCGAAACGTCCCAGGAACCCACGACGTGATCCTCCCCTCGGCAGATCCGATCTCTCTCTGGCAATCACTGCACCCGGCCGAACTCAGCACCACTCTCGGACTGAAGATTCAGAGTCAACTGTGGAATCCTCTTCATCAAACCCTAAAACCCCGACTGTGGTAAATCAACCTGAACTGTGCAACCAAACCCCATTCGTTCGGTCGGAATCTGCGTACCGCTTAAAGCTTGTAGCCACCGGCGATGTCCGCAACCAGGAGGCCGTACGCAGTACCGTAGGCCCAAGAAAGCCAGAGAAGCACAAATACGAGGCTTTGGCACGAGAGGGACCTTGCTTACGTGGTACGGGAGTTACTGTATTCTAGTCGACTGTGGTATACTTACTGTCCTGTTGCGGGGACTCCGCGGAAGGTCCACAGAATGTTTTCTGCTCGAGGGGACCGGCGAATTCCTGGGCCCTTATGAAGCAGTGGCAAGACATTGGCGAGCTTCAGAGTGTCACATTCCGAATCTGCGTGGACGGCAGAGACTTGAGAAATGTCTTTTCTGCAATTTTTGCACAGCTGGTTCATCATTATCTCGAAACACTATTAGACATCCGCATTCCCGTGATCGAATGTAGAAAAATGGTCTGAAGTGTAGCGTGAGAGTGGGTGATGACTGGAGTGACACCAGTTTGGAGGTTTTGTGGTGAAGAAGGAGAGCCAGGTTTGAATTGGAGTCCGACCGGCGCGCATGTCACTTGTCAGAGGTTTATGAACTCCATACTTCGTCAGCGATAGTCTTCGAGAGTAGATATGAAGACATTGAATTTGCATGGTCAAACACGGAAATCTAAATCGAAGGCATGGCGCATCAAGTCTCGATAATTCAGTCCCAGCGTTATTCGCACATCGACGATATCACTATCAAGGACTCGACAAAGCTCTATCAAATGAGACATCTTAATTACACTCGATCGCGATCCCAACTACAACTCACAAAATTTGTAGAAGACACATTGACGAAATCATGTTTGAGGTCAGACATGATGAAATTGCCGTTTGTGAACCCGAGGAATGCAGACAGATTCAGAGAATGTTTCTTCTTATTTCCCACAGTTCCAGGTCCTTCCCACGATCATAATTTTTCATATATTGTCGTACTCCAGTAACATCAATCTTTCTTCCACGAAAGTGTCGAGCAGTTTCAGCATTGTCTACATCAACATCTAATTTTTCACAACTTCCAGCCTCCGAGCTGTCGGCGGTGAAGTAGGAGCGAAAGTGTTTGTATCCGTGAGCCACAACATCCTGGTCCCTCAAGCTAAAATTGTAGCGTTTCTCCATAGCTAGATACAGAACCTTCTTAGAATTCACCGGCATGAGCGCCTTCAACACGCTGAAAAATGCATCTGTCAAATCAGGACTGTACACTACGTCTGCTGCAAGTAACACAGAAACCTCCTCGGCTATCCTCAAGTCGTCCGGACTCCAATGGTACGTGGAATTAGCCTCACTACTTCCACTGTTTACAGGTGGCCAAGGATTATGCCAATCTAATTCTCGAACTCTCACACTGTTCTCTCCTTGCCTCAAAGAACTCGAGTTCAGCATCAAATTACGAGTACAATTGTCCAGATTCTCAGTTCCTCTGTCGGTTATGAAGACAAGACGGGCATATCTGGCCATGATGATTCCGGTCAACCCTGTCCCAGCTCCAAGCTCCAAGACGACTGTATCCTTGAACGACTCATTTGTTGTGATGGAATCCAGGATGAAGTCTGATAACAACAATGCTCCTTTCCATACCTGCAAACCTACGTCAGAAAGTTGAGTTGTGATGTTATGATAAACAGAAATGACATCTTTGGTGACCTGAGCTGTCTTGCGCATTTTCTTTCTCCTTGGTAGAATGAGATCCCCATGGTCATCAGTTCCCACTGAACATTCATCAGCACCTTCATCATCTTCCTGTTTCTCGAGAACAGCAAATTCATCCTCCGTCCTCTCTGGAGAAGAAAACCTTGAGATTTCAAAACTAGACACTCCGTACCCAAAGCTAGGGCTGCAACCAATGTGCACTTCGCTCATCACCTCTGCCCTGTCCAGCCAGCTATCATCGTCGTCTTCCATGGCCTCGTTGATCAAGAAGGCGTCTGACAGCAAGAGGCACTGACTAGATCTCTCTCAAGCGAGCGGGGTATGCAACTGACCTCGTCTCACGAGGAAGAGACAGACTTACGTTCCCACTCCACTAGAAAGATGCTCTGTCAGGTCCGTTTCGGCGTTGCGATTGTCAGATTATCCTTGGACGTGCGGTTGCTTTTCAGGCATCAGAGGTCCATTTCGCCGTCTCCACCACTGTTGACTCATGCGGTTGTTCCAGCTCGATGGGCAATCCAAAGTGGCTCTGAAAGACAGGCTTGATCCAGGGCACATTCATGGCGCCCCTGCCAACATTGTAAGCTAAATGCTTCAGATCCAGTTCGCTAGGCAGTAAAAGGTCGCTCTGAGAGACAGAGTTGAGCATTGGTTCTGGCCACTCCCAATCGTGTAAGCTTGGTGCTCCAAAGCTTTACTCACCATAGTGTAAAATCGCAATCTCGTTGTCGTGTTCAGTGAAAGCGCTTTTCAAAGCTGTTGTGTTCTTAGTTTGGTGACAAAATTCACTTTCAAGTTACAAACTTCGGCAACATGATGGCCTTAGTACGGTCATGGAGATTTCGGATTCGATGATTCCGTTGGGTACACATTTGTCATTACTTTGTCTCCACAACAGAGCGAGCACGGTGACGTGAGACAGCATTGTCGTAAGAAAATCTTGCGCAACAAGTTGGGCTTATAGAAACCATGCCATGAATTCTCATCGAAGAGCCGTCGCTTGTAGTATAGCAGACAACTGGAGAGAGCTTGCAAATTTTAGTGACTAGATCAAACTTCCCACTGTAGCTCCCTACATTTCCGATGACAAAAAACCTCAAGATCGACGCCCTTCTTCTACCTTGGTGCGATGCCTCGAGCATCACAAACCAATCAAAGGTGGGCTAAAAGTGAGACCTTGCTTGCTTCCCGTTAACAATTGATACCAGGACATTGTCGCACATTATAGACGGTGTAGAAGGCACACGACGATGAGGACGTTTTGATAGGACCATAATGTATTACAGGTAAATATCGAACACTTGGAAGTAAAGAATCTTAGAACTTGAAACTGTACAACATTGACTACAGAGCTCCTACAATTAAGCGCTCCACTTTCTGTCATCTCAAAGTTACCAAAAGTTTGCTCTGCACTTGATCCCTCACCTTTCCCTGCAAGTCATTAATCTCTTCGTCAGTCAGAGAGCGCTCCATGGACCTATAAGCAATCCGGTAACAATGACTGGTCAGTCCCTTCTTTTTGTTCTCAAACTCGTCAATCAGAACCACCTCCTCCACCAAATCCCCAGCAATTCCCCTGACAACCTCGCACAGATTGTTCTCGGAAAATTTGTCACTGATCCAGAAACTGATATCCTTGTAGCAGGGGGGATACTTCGAAAACGACTTGAACTTGGTGCGTTGCCCTGCTTTGAATTGAGTGGTCCATCGGGGATCATCTGACCAGAAAAGCCGAATGTCCGGAATTGCGAAAAGAACCATGGCCAAACGTTCCAATCCGAGCCCAAACGCCCAGCCTACGGTACCACCGCGACCATTCCTGTTCAAAATTTCTTGTTCAACTACACCGCATCCAAGAACTTCGAGCCACTTGTCCTGGTAGAAAATTTCCAGCTCGTATGATGGATCCGTGAAGGGGAAATAGGTGTCCACCCACCGCATCTCGACCTTCCCGAACAAACGCTCGGCAAGCCCTTCTAGAGTTTCCTTCAAGTGCTTCGATGCCAATGTGGTACCGTCAACCCCAGCCGCTTCCCATTCGTCCTGGGTGAATACCCGAAATCCTTCCATCTGATGAAAAACCGGATAATGCGTGGCATCGATGGCATCTCTTCTGTACACGTCTCCTGTCACAAGAAAGTGCGTGTTGCCTTCACGGAGCTTCTCAGCCTGATGGGCGCTCGTATGGCAACGCAGGACGGTCTCGGAGTTCACATAGTATGTGTCATTCATTCTGCGGCTCACGTGGTCCGCAGGGACGAGCACATCATCGAAATTGGCTTTGACAGTGACGATAGGGCTAAGGTCGTCGAACTTCTTGAACTCGCCTTGAAATCTCTCGTCAAAATAACTGTAGATTTCATTCTTCAAAATTCCGAGAGGATGATTCTCCCTGTTGTGCAGCTGGAGCCCAATTTTCGTGAACACGGAGTCGGGCACATTGTTCGTGGGATCATCCTCTCTCACAATCTCGTCGCGATTCAGAGTCAATCCTCCGACTTCGACACTCGCCGCGGCACAGGCCGTCGATCGAGGCTTCTTCTTCTCGGAGGCCGCCAGGCTGAAAGGACGCACGTAACTGCGGTCACCGATTGCGCGTGCCTTGACGCCTCCATCTCGAGCACCACCGCAGGAATTCACCTCGACACGGCGGGGAAAGGCTAGGGCAGGGAGTCCGCAGCATATCAGAGGAGCAGCCCTGGAGCACAAGGACGAAGAGATCGTGAGAGCAAGCGAAGACCGCAGAGCTGCAGCCATGGCTACGTTCGTTTCCGAGCCTTTCCTCTGCAGCAGAGCACAATCTGCGGCCCCTGCGTCGTTCCGCTACTTGAGCAGCAGGTGCTCGTGCTTGAGCTTCCTCTCCTCCCCCTTCTCCTTCCGGATCTGCGATGAGCCAAATCCTGAATCAAATGGATGGCACTTTTTCCACTTCCACGGCTCGCCCGTCGACGTGGCTGACCCTACGTACAGAGCGTCGAGCGGACGGAGCCACGATAAGTGATGTACCGCGCGGGCTGCACCGGTGACCATCTGGATGCTCTGGTGGCTACAGCTATCGTCCTGCAAATAAGCCGATGCTTCTAAGAATTGAGAGGGGGCGCTAAGAATTGATAGAGTGATGAAACCGACGGGATTGAATGGGACAGTATCAAATCACCCACGATAGGCCATATGTAATATCATATCTAACTTATCGTAACTCTTCGATCAATTTATATACACTCTCTCGATACAATAATTGATTCACAGCTTAATAAAATGTATATTCTATATATGATGGTTTTTAAAACAATCATTTAGACTTTTATTTCATAGTTTTATATGAATAAAAAAGGAATTAATAATTGATCTTTATATATTCACATCACTCGAACCTGGTGCTACTCACTCGATGACAATATTTATTGAAGTTAAAAAATTAATAAAATCAAGTTATCATGTGCAATGTATACAAATATATTTTTTGATTATTATTTCTATAATAATTTTTATTCGAATTAAAATATTATGTATTGTAGATTATTTCAATTAATTGTTATTTTTTGCTCTTTATATTTAGGTAGTTTGAAAGTAAAAATTAATAAATTATAGTGAAGAGAGGAAAAAAATGAAATCATTAAAGAAATATATAAAATATTTTGAAATCAAGGTATTTAAGATTCACTTGATTATTTTCATAGCCTAATTAGATTCATGTATGTTTATAAAAATAACTCAATTAATAATATCAACATATTGATTGCAATATATATTCATAAACACAACTTTGCATAATTGCAAGCATGAACAAGTTAAATCTGTAGAAAATTACTTAATTTTTTTTCCTAGAATTCCAAATATAAAAATGAATAGATACTTAAAGTCCTCAAAATCATTATCAAACAAAGTCTTGAATACATTTCAAATTATTTTTTTGTGTGACATACTATTTTTACTATCGTAATATGAAATTTCAACTTATGTCATATCAAAACGTGATTTAATTTTTTGATCTTATGATTATTATGGATTAGTTTTGATAAATTCAATTGTTATTTACTTCAAATTTTTTTTTAGATTCATTTAAGTATTATTATGCTAAAGTTACAATAATTTATTTTCATAGTAGAATAGTTGAAAAAAGAAGTTATATTTGAGTATTTTACTTGATGGAAACCCATCGTAACACAAATTGCTTGATGGAATCCATTACATTTTGTTTTCCCAGAACTTTATCAACGTGTGACGGAATCCCGTTACCAAATTTAAAACAAGTTCATTTAAATACTCGCTACGGTCTATAATATGAAAAAGTGTTTCCTTGAAAGTTCCAACTTTGTTGAATCTATTTTGCTATTTCTGTGACCAAATCTGCGATGAACTTGAGATCCCAGCACTAACGTCAGATTGGATTTGAATTTGATGTGCTTGAATTCTATTCAAATTTGCAAACTGCAGGTAGATGTTCATCTCAAGAATGATATCTCTCAAAGTATAACTACTTGCTGAACATAGAATTTATGTCGTGCGAATTACCTCGCTGAACAAAGAACTTAAGTTGTGCAAATTATCGTGGTTTTCCACAGACGATTGCAATAGGTATGCGTGAAGGGTCCGAACAGACAACAAGCTCATCAATGAGTACTTGTATTAAGTTTGTAGAGCAGCTCGCAGCATTCAAGTATTGATGGTTGAGCACGCGAGGTCCGAGAATTCTCAATCAGAAAAAGACATAGTTCCAACCTCTGTGCTCTTGAATGCTCATCGTTTGTCCAACATCCACTGCAACCCGAGGTTAGTGTTAGAACTAGTGTTTGCATTCGCGTTGATCTCAAGGTTATTACAAGAACTTTCCGACAGTGTGCCGTCAATAGAGTTCCATCTAGTAACACGAAACGTGATAAATACCATCAAGCAATTTGTGTTCCAATGGGATATCATCAAGTAATTTCATCTCTAAATTAGAATATGAAAATTTTCAACTACTCTAGTTTACACAAGTCAAATTGATCAAAGTTAGACAGATTTCTTAAACATATACATACATTTTTTAAATGAATACATAAATATATCATTTATATTCATGATAGAGAGAAATGTTAAATTTTTGTTTTTTATAAAATTATATTTTCTAAACATTCATAGAACATTTTTTACATATAAAACTATTTGATTTTTTCACATGATTTTTGCCAATTAAGAATAAGTTTTAAGCATTAAATTTTTTTATTTTCATTTTAAATCCTATTTATAGTAATTCATGAATTGATTCTTAAAAAAATTAATATGTAAGAAATAAATCTGAATTTTAAATTTTAAAACCGTTTTTTTCATTTATCTTATGAATTATAGTAATTATTTTTAAAATTATAAATTTCTTAACCTTATATTAAGATGAATTAATCCAATTATTATAATGATTTCCAAAATTTTCAAAAATATGACAAAATAAAATCAAAATCAAAAACTTTATGGATTACGAATGCAATCATAAGACTTGAAAATAATAGAAATAATTGATCACAATTAATTACAGTTCAATTCATGATACAATTACAGTTCAAAGCTAATTCAAATTTTTTTACAAATAATAAAATCTCAGTCCATGAACTAAATATATTTTTTACACTGAAAAATACCAGTTTTTTGACATTTTTATTATAAAATTTTGATTTTGTATAATGTGTAATATCACAGTGTAGAAGACTTTAAGTGCACAAATCTTATAGCTAAAGATTCCTATTAGTGAAATTAGATAATAACCAAACCAAATGATGTAATGCCAACATTATACTCAATAGATCTAACAACCTGATCTTCATTAGATTGATGAAGATGTTCAATTTTATCGACACAAATTTCAATATTGAAAACGTTTGGAAAAAATAAAATCAATCAATATCCGCAACAAAAATATTTTCAATCTCTTCATATATGTATAGTTCAAGAACATGATAGTTCAACAACATCATTGTGCTTAATGTCAATGATTTTACTTTTGTGTCAATGCTTGTGCATGCTCCTTACAAACTAAATTGCTTTCAATTCATAATGTTTTTTTTTTTAAATTTCATATGCTCCACTTTGAAGTGATAATATAGAAAATTATGATATGTTAAAAATATGAAAGGATTTTTCAAGTAGATTCAATTACTATTAAATTATTAGCCTTATGAAAATATTATTCAGAAATGATAAATTAACCTAATTTCAAATTAATTTTTATGAATTAAAAAAGTTTTTCTTAAAAATATATATAAATTCTATTTATACATGTCAAAATTATGATGAAATATTTTTTGTTTTCTTCAACATAATTTTTTTTTTGAAATTTTATATGTGAAAAATAAAGGAATACTTACCAAAAAGTTAATGAATTAACACATGTTAAAATTTTTTTAGCTCGTCTTTTATCAATTTTTTTTAAAATCTCTAATTTTAAGAACAAACTGTGTGTTTAATCTTAGTGTTTTTTTAGTTTTATTTAGATTTTAAAAAATTTAATTGGATAGATAAATAAGCAATATTTGACGAAATAGATAAGAAATAAAGAAATAAATAAATATTCTTACTTACTGATAGTAGAGTAATTTTTTTTAATCACATTATGGTATGTTGAAAGCACTATATCTTGTATCAATGGTATGCTTAAGTAGTTGGTTTTCTAGTTGATGCAAACTGATAAATCTCATATTGTTTTTTTTAATATTAGTAGTTATATTAATATTTTTTATATTACCAGAAAAAATTGCCAATATATTTACTTAACATAATATAAAGAAATGTTTTTTCTTTTTTTACTCAGCTTTTGGATTATTAGCTATGGATGTGGACTTCAATATGACTATGAGGGAGTGCGTAAGAGCGTTTTATACTCCGTGACACATGTGCGCTAATTCCTCTAGTCTATTGTGTAACATATTTTCCTTACTATGTAGAAAACACTCCCAGTGCCGAATATAGGAGATTCTTCACGTTAGATGATGCATCATCTAGCCTTACTGTTGTTTGTAGATAGTTTGTTCTGATAATGCAGGTATAGTCGACCTTTGTCTTCGGACAGAAATTGAAGACATTAGCAAGAGCTGTGTTTGTATCAGGTCCGAGATGGTCTCTGAGACGGCAGAAAGGCAAAGCAAATTTAAATCTGAGGAAGATGCGAGGTGAACAGTTTTGTGTAATACCTGTGATGTGCCCGGTTTGGGTTCGATTATTTTGCTTCTGTCCTTCTGTCTTCTCCTGTCTGTCTCGAGTTTCCTCATCGCGGTCTTAGATGCCCTCGTGACGAAGCGATTATTACTGCTTCTATCCAGAAATCAGTGCACGTGCCATCCACAGTACGGAACATCGCGTGGTGCGATTTGAGATATCATATCTCGAACAGATATCTCAGAAATCTGTTCGCTCTGGTTGAGAAATAGTGATGAATGTATCATTTTCTATAAAAGACAGTATACTGATTTCACTCCACTGCTGAGAGTGGGAATGTATCTCCTACGCAAACTTGTTAAGTCCCATTATCCAAAAGTTGAACACGAAGCACCTTCGTGGACTATCATGAGTAGACGCCGTTCGTGAAAAGCTGTATCCAACTTGAACAAGATACGTCCTTTTGTCCAAATCTGCAACATGAGTCACGTTGATTCATGCATTATTGTAATGATTCATGTCATTATTGTAATATTATATAAATTTTCAAAAAAATTACATATATCCTTGATAATTTTTTACTCCATCAATTTAGTTATTTTATCTCAAAAAATTGAAAGGAAAAATATATATTTTGATTTTGGTTTGAAATCTAATTTGAATGTTATCTTTTCAAAATTTTTTCTCTACCCTCGTCATGCTTTTTTGAAACTTGATTTTTAATCTTGTTGTAATCTTCATATGAATTGTCCAAGTTTATTACTTTGAGATGTTT